TACCATAAGTTTTGCGCGCCGCGCATTTTAGCTTTGTACCCTTTAATCACGTATAACACGTTGAGGATCGAGCGCTATAGGGGGAAACGTTATTTTTACAAGGCGAACATTTCGCCAAAGACCGGAATTCTCTAGCTCTTTTACTTTCAAAGTTAGGCCCCAGCCAGTAAGGTTTCCTAGGTATACTGTTAGGTTTTTCGCCACTGGTGATAAGTACAGTCATCATTTAGGAGGAACCCCGTTATGAGATTTCATATAGAACTTGCAAGGGTATGCTTCAGTACACGCACATCGGAGTGTTCATTATTTTATTATCAATCGATACTCGAGGTCAGATAACAGCTCACGCAACATGTTCTTTTAAGTCATACAATGGGTCTTTACCCAAACTGATCTCTTCCCAATCACATGCCCAACCTTCATGCATCATTAGGTTATAATATCTCTATTATCCGACGGACATTTATGCTTTGCTTCTACCTGAACTCATCCATTCCCTGATTGTTATGGTCTCTTGCACGATTTCTCTATTCCCTCATCCTCCAGCCCTATTTTTCTATATCCCAACACAATCCATTTAGTCCCCTTCTCTATCTCTCCCCATCTTTCAATTCTCTACTTTTCCCTTCTCTACTTTTCCCTTCTCTATTTTTCTATATCCCAACACAATCCATTTAGTCCCCTTCTCTATCTCTCCCCATCTTTCCCTTCTCTACTTTTCCCTTCTCATCCATCTGATTGACGAGGTGGGTACTCTTCCATACAGTCGTCGACTGGAAATCCTCAATTTAACAACGCTGGCAGAGCGGCGAATACGTGGGGACCTCATTGAATCTTTTAAAATGATAAGTGGTTTGGCCAATTACGGAGCTGGTTTGTTCAGTATGAGCAGATCTGGTCTTAATGTGGTATCAAACAGTAGATGCAGTAAAAGTAGCAGTAAAATACAAATATTGAGAGCCTCTTTGTTGAAACCAAAGATAGCGCAGGCTGCAAAATTGTTCATGGAGTCATTTACCGACCCCCTAATGGCTGCTTTGATAGCTTTTGTGAAACCCTTGAATTACTTGTAAAGCAGCTAAATGGGAAAACTGTCAATTTGTTGGGAGACTTTAACTCAAACATACTTAATATTTCTACCAGTACCCAGCTCTTTGAGGATACTTTGTACAGAAATGGCTTTTACCCGACTATCTCCATTGCAACACATTTTCGTCAAAACTGTAAAAGTTCCTGCATCGATAACATTTTAACAAATAAAATTGAGAATATAGTATTATCGGGTGTTATTGAACAACGGCTTGGTGAGCATGCCCCTATATTTACCTTCACTTCAGTAGAGACCCCTCGCAATACAGAGCCTCAGAAACATGTCCGCTATTATGATTACTCGAGTTCCAAATTAAAAAGCTTTGTAACTGAACTTGAGGTGAAGGTAAACCAGCTCACCCCTTCAACAAAATTTGATGAGTTCACGGCATGTTTTGACCAGGTACTTGACAAACATTGCAAACTGGAGGTACCAAAAGTGACAAAAAGAACTCCCAAACTTAACCCATGGATTACAGACAGTATCATCCAGTCTGTAGAAAGAAAGCATGAACTGCGTAAGGAGTGGTCTGACACCGTTACTAATAAGAACCCTGGTGGTAATATCTTGCTCTACCAAGTATTTAGTGATTATCGTAGGATGCTTAAAGCTATCATTAAAGCTGCCAAACGTTGGCATTACTGTAACGAAATCCTAAACAACTGTGAAAATAGCAAGAAAACCTGGCAAATTATTAACGAACTCAGGGGCAAAAAGAAGAGGCAAACCAAGCCCCCATTTATCATTGACAACCAAAGAATAGTTGATAGAAGAGCTATTGCTAATGGATTCAATACTTGGTTTGTCTCTATTGCACCAAAGCTGAATGAGACACTGAATAATCTATCTTATGGTCTGCCTATATTACCCATGAAAACTTTCTATGACTTCCTGAACCCAAGAAATGAAAAAAATATTAGGCTAGAAGATTGCTCCTCGAACGAAATATTGAAAATCATAAGCGAGTTCGAAAATGGTAAAGCCAGTGACATTCCCATAAGTGTAGTAAAAAAGTCATCTCATGTAATTGCACCTGTATTATCGAATTACTTCAATATCCTTATGACCAAAGGTATATTTCCAGATGTCCTGAAGACTGGTAAAATAACTCCTGTATATAAGAAAGGTAACCCAGAAGAAATCGAGAACTACCGTCCTATCTCCACACTGTCCGTCTTCGGTAAGATCTTTGAAAAGCTCATATATTCTAGAATATACGGATTTGTTAGCTCCCAGGGAGTTATATCGAAGACACAGTTTGGATTTAGGAAATCTCACTCTACATCTCATGCAGTCAATTACTCTGTAAATTTGATTACGAAATCTCTTAAACTTAAGAATCATGTTTTAGGAATATTCATTGACCTAAGCAAAGCTTTTGACACTATCGACCATTCAACACTTCTTATAAAATTAGAGGGATGTGGAGTGAGAGGAGTTGCAAATAACCTCATTAAAAGCTACTTGACAAACAGGCAACAATACACCGAAGTTGTAGGAGAAAAATCAGATACCCTATCTATCCAATTTGGTGTCCCACAGGGTTCAATTCTTGGACCTCTCCTATTTCTTCTTTATATGAACGACATCACAAACAGTTCTAAACTAGGATCATTTGTTACCTTTGCTGATGATACCAATATATTTGTTGTCGGCAAAACAAAACGTGAGGCATATGAACGAGGAAATGAGCTTTTGTCATCATTGAAGTCTTATATGAGAGCGAATAAGTTACATATAAACATGTCCAAGTGCTGCTACATACACTTCAAACCCACCATGGCAGGTTCTAAGTCAGAGACTTTATCACACCCTGAAGTTGCATTAACTATAGACAACTTTCCAATCAAAAAGGTTTCATCCGCAAAATTTCTGGGTGTTATAATTGACGAGAACCTATCATGGGAAGATCACATCAAAGCACTTAAGCGAACTCTAAATCATTCCACATCCACTTTATGTAGACTTCGCTGCTCCCTTCCAGAATTTCTACACCAACAATTATATTATACCCTGTTCGAATCACATCTTTCCTACTGTATATCTGTATGGGGTGGGGCAGCGAAACAACGTATAAGCTCATTATTTACTGCTCAGAAGTACTGTCTCAGAGTACTATTTGGTGACAGGCTGGCGTACCTTGATAAGTTCAAGACTTGTGCACGTACTAGGCCCATAGGACACCAGAAACTTGACCAAAAATTTTTCATAAAAGAGCACACCAAACCGATATTTAAGCATAATAATATTCTATCTATACAAAATCTCTATACATACCACAGTTACCTCGAGCTCTACAAGATAATGAAATTCCGTGCTCCAATATCCCTACATGAGGGTTACACATGTTCCTCAAGGAAACCCTGTCTTCTAATCTGTCAGGCAGACCCACCTGACAATCACAACACTAGATCAACCAAAATTTTTAACATTTTAACCCCAAAGTTCAGAATGACTGACTTTACTACTAGTGTAATGTGCTTGCGAGGTAAGTTAAAACGTGCGCTATTAGCTAATCAACATAATCACGCCCTGCTTGATTGGACCGTCAAAGATTTTGACTGCACAAATGTTATTGTCCAAACATAACTGGCTGGTCACACACATCTCAATTAAAATTACGCTAGGCCACTGTTTTCCAAGTCTTGTCCTGTGAGTAAAGTATGTGTGAGAAAGTTTTAATAAAATCATTGTATATTTATTTTTGAATTTTAAAAATCTAATTTGAGAATGAAGGTTAAAGAAATTTTTAATTAGCACTGTATAGTTTAAGATATTTATAGCTTATTATAACAATTGATACAAAGGCCATAATCTTTCACCAGCTCTCCAATATCCACCTTGAAGCTGCATTTTATATCCTAAATATAAACTAAATCATGTTTTAGTGTAGACTTTTTGTCACAACAAGACTGCAACCTATAGTAACAATTATAAACAGAACCTCTAATGTCTGCTAACAATTTTTCTTCTAGTCCTAATCTGAGCCTTGTCTCTAAAAACTTAACTGAACTAGCGTTTCGGTGTGTGCAAAAGCTTCCAGGCACGCGCATTCCTTGCCCCGTTAGTTACCTGTCCTTCATAAACCAAACTAGCAGTCAGGACAAAAAGTCATACACCAAATGGGCATTATATTTTATGAATTGTTTTACATCTTTTTATTCTGTAAAAATGTGCTAAAATTAAATTTCTTGTTTCATTGAAAAAAAAAATGAAGAAAGTCCACAGTTCTTTTCTTCCGGAGAGGGTGAGACCATATTGGAACAAACTCCCCTCGGATGTCAAGAATTGTGGGACTGTGTTAAGTTTTAAAATAAGATTAGAGGCTTTCAAAAAAGAGACTATTTTAAACGGATCTGTAAATGATAGTTATTTTTGGTATGTTTCGGACGAAGTATTAGGAAAGATCAAGGGATTAAATTATGCTACGAATAAAGAGAAGCACAATGAATATCTTGTGTGTAATCCTCATGTTGCTAAAAACCGCTTTATCAACTTATATAGTAGTGGAAAGTATGTAAATTAGATTCATTTGAACTTGGTTGTTTAGGCCAATAGATTTAAGATAATTTTTAAACTTTAGTAGATATATTTTTGATGATGTGTGATGATGTTTGTGTCATTATATTTTGATTTGATTTGATTTGATTTTATCCTATTACCCAATCTCCTCCTAGAACATATTTCTCTCATTTCTTCTGTACCTTGCCAATCTATTTCTAATTTCTGTTCTCTAGCTTGGCTTTGTACAACCTTAAAACTGATTTCTTCCAACATTTTATATTTGCCTGGCTGTGTTAGGCATCAAAGGTAATTATCATTGATGACAAACATATGGGCAGGCTCAACCAAGCTGCACACTAAAATTATGATTTTTGTTGCAATGAGATGCATTATAGTTCATAACCTCAGAATGTTTCCTAAATGAATTGTGTACAAGAAGCAGTGAATACAGCCTACAATTTGTTTGGCAATCAATCAACAGAAGTCTCTGAAGACAGTCTACAGCTTATGGTCAATAAAATAGATCGACTCTCCAGTGAAGAATTGGGCTGCAGAAGAGAGCACATACAGCATTCCCACACATATTTACTAAATTGATAGAAAACGATCAGTTTCAGTTCAGTATTTTCTACATCAAAAAAGGATATCAATTGCCTCTGCACGACCATCCTGACATGCATGGTATAATAAAGGTAAATTAACCATGCAGCTCATTTTCATTGTTTAATGTTTTAATGTGTGTATTACCTTAAACAGATAATATAATTTTCTATTAAGCTTAAGCAATAGAATATACTCCACATTAGTTGGGGTGTTTCTATTTCTTTTGTTAATACGCATCTTTATATAATCCAGTTAGTACAATTGCACTATTTCAGGTACTTTTTGGTCAGATAAGAATACACAGTTACACTGCAACTAACATTGATTCACAAGTGATAAGAGCCCCCAACGAAAAGTATACTGTAATATGTGAAAGAGCTGATGATTTTGTTTTGTGTTCAGATGATAAGCCACTCAGTCTAACTCCATACATGAACAACATTCATGAAGTTATAGCTGACACAGATGCTGCCTTTTTTGACTGTTTGCTTCCACCTTACAAAGAGAAATGTAACTTTTACAGATATAATGGAGTAAAAGATGTGGAGAATAATTTGTATGAGTTACTTAACTTAGGTAGTGAGCCAGAGATAGGTTATTACACAATTCCCAGAACTTACTCAGGTAGAAACTTTACCCAGCAGTCATAACAGAGATTTAATGTGTCACGATGTATTGTGACACTAAGTTTTTGTTATGATTCAAAAATGGGGAATGTTGGTTGTCCATCAACTAAGAAGATGCTTGATTGACCCAAGAACTAACTTAACTGTTTTCTGCTGGATTGCTTACCAAATGTTTACTTTGTGTACAAACTTTGGGTTGATGGACAAACCAAAAAAATTTTAAATTAAAAAAAGTTAGGCAACTGTACTGTATCAGTTAACAAGTAAGCTGTAACTAGGTTCAAATTAATGCTTTTCTATTTCATAGCTGAACATTTTGTATTATATCTAATTTAAAATCAATAATTTTATATCTATTAGTACAAGTCTCTTAATTTGTTAGTTCAAAGTATGAAACGAAGTTACACTTGTGTGACTGTTAGTGTTATGTTTATATCTTCATTGAGAGTTAATAGTTATTTGATTCAATTTAAGTTTAAAAATTATAACGTTAAGAACTTATTTCTGAATTAATATAATTTTGATTGTTGCTATTGCAATATGCTGATTTGCTACATATAATTAGACCATCGCATCAATTTCAGAAGTTAAGTAGCCACATGTCTTAATTTTTATATATTTTCCATGAAGATTTGAATGTTATCAATTAGTTTTGTCTGATAGAAATGAGCATACAATTGTGTCAATTGTGTCACAGTTTTTTGAGAAGAGGCGTACATAGCATTTCCAGAGGACTTCCAAAAAAGTTACCAATCGCTGGAGTTAAAAATATTCTTCTTGTTGCCTCTGGGAAAGGAGGGGTGGGCAAATCGACAATTGCAACAAATCTCTCAATAGCTCTCTCTAAACGGTACAGTTGCTTATTTTATTTTAATTTATTGTTACTTCAAATATATTTCACCATTGACATTAGTTTGCCCACAAGTTACAACTTGTTTGTTGTGCTTCTTCAATTATTTTATCCCTGTTTTTCACACATGATCCTTACTTGCAGGTGCTCTGTTGGTTTACTTGATGCTGATGTTTTTGGACCCTCCATTCCAATGATGATGAATGTATCAGATGTACCTGAATCAAACCATCAAAAGCTTATTATACCCGTTAACAACTACAATATAAAGTGTATGTCGATGGGTCTCCTTGTTGATGAAGAATCCCCTGTAAGTTATTTAATTACTAATGTCGAATGCAATTTTATTTTTAAAGTAGTATGAACATAATTATAACGACATCTTGTTGTAGAACAAAATCCAAGATCTAAACGCTTTTTTTTTTTTTTCTTTCTTTTTTTCTCTTTTTCTTCTTTTTTCTAAAATAACTCTTTTTCATTTTTTTAATCTAAACGCTTCTTAATAACTTGCTACAGCTGTATAGCAGAGTTTGAGTTGTAACCTGACCAGGCATGTACAGGTAGTGTGGCGAGGTCTCATGGTTATGCAAGCTATCAAGAAATTACTCCGGGGAGTGAGGTGGGGTCCACTTGACGTGCTGGTGATAGACATGCCACCGGGAACGGGTGACACACAGCTCAGTATCACCCAGGAGATTCCTATACAGGGGGTGGTGTTGGTCACCACTCCCCAGTCTGTTGCTGTTGCTGACTGCATCAAGGGGGCTGAAATGTTTAGAAAGGTGACATTTTGATATATTTTCAAATGTGAAGTGGTCATTATATATTTCAAGATCTAAAGTATTAGTATAAAACAACGATTTTTGAGTAGTACTAGTCAGTTCATATAACAAATTATTGAAACAAGGCAAGCAAATTCAACATATTATAATATAGACAAATGATGTGAAGTTTGTCATTAACATAGAACACCTCAGGTTGAGGTACCAATAGTGGGTGTTGTAGAAAACATGAGCTATTACCAGTGCACAGACTGTGGAAACAAACACCACATATTCGGTAGTAACCTTCAGGACAAGCTGAAAGGAAAAGCATTGCGTGATGTGGAAATACTGGGCGAACTGCCCGTTAAACCTGGGATATCAGAGAACTGTGATTCAGGGACACCTTCAGTCATACTGGACCCTGAAATTAGTGATATATTTGATAATATTGTTAGCTCTGTTATTCCCTTTTTAGAACTTGATGATTGACTGTTTAGGTGCTAACTTTTTATAGGTTTAGAACTGAGTTTGTAAATGGCTGCAGCTTTTTACATGGTTTCAATAATTTGAAAAATGTTATTATTATATTGGACTTTATAGTATACTGTTGCATGAAATGATTTAAATTTATCTAAATTTTTATGTTACTTAACTTCAGCAGTTGCTGTCGAACTGATTTGTTTAATGTTTTTGATTGGCTGTATGATGAAATGAACTTGCTTTTGTTGTACAGTAAAACCCCAATTTATTGCTCCTCGATATACTGCAAATGCTGAATTACCGCGGCCACGTCCTTTCCCCCAAACTCCACGGTAAATCGGGGTTTTACTGTATAATGAAAATAAAAGCATCCTATTTTCTGAACGTATTTGATATTATCATAATGTATTATACCCTTTACATAGACTACGTCCATAGGTTCAGAATGTCGGAGAAGAAAGATATCCAGCTGTCCCTGTCAGCGTACACCAAGATACTATGTCACGTGATGCAGTATCCTTATACTGCAGTTAACGGTATCTGACCATCTTTCTACTATTTATTTGATAACTTATCATTTTCAATATGTTTGTCGTTTTTTTTCTTTCATATGAAAATTTTATTTTCCACCGAATGTGATTTAAATAAGTGTTATTTTAATGATAAGGTAGAATTAATTATTTAAATTGATAATTTCAATCTAAAGAGCTGAATTGAGACAATATTTGAAGTTTTTAATGAGATTACCACGTACCAGGTATCTTGTTGACGAAGGAGGGGTGTGAAGATAAGGAGCAGGTGGAGGTAGTGGACTGTGTTCCACTCTTTCATTACAACATTCCTATCTCCCCCATGTTCATTGTAGCTCTTACTCAGGTAACTTTTACACATTGTCAAACTTGTATTTTGAAGAGGATACTGTTTTTGTTAGCTAGGCATAACAAGATGATAAAAGACAATAAGGACTTTCCGAGAAAACACAGTATAAATATTCAATATATTCAGATAGAGGAGTATGCCAGCAACAGAGATATGAAGATATGTGGTTACTATCATGCCAACGAATACTACTCTGACTCGGAGGTGTGGAATGTGGACCACTAAATAACTTAATTTATAAGTTCATTTTATAACTGTTTTAGAAGCGAGCGTGTTAAATCACCTTAGACACGAACTTCGAGAACTTCGAGATTTTTCTAAAAGGGCCCCCCGACATAACTCACGTGATAGTCGTTTCTAGAAGTTATAAATTTAACATTATAATAATTACTTACATGCGTTTTGTGTAGAGAAGATGACAATTGGTATTTAAACAGGTGGGAGCAGTAGCTACAAGAATAGCAGATAAGATAGCCGAGAACTGTGAGGATTGCTGCTTGCTGATTGTGGAGAATGATAAGTTATCTGCTCTCAATACCGACATCCCTATTAAAGCTTTTCTTCCTTCAAAGTAAGTCTTAATGGTTAAAATATATAATTCGTTTCTTCGAATTATGAAACTTATTTAAATACTTTATACTCATAATTCAGTTTAAAATAAAATGTAATTTAACTTGAAGTGTCGCGTGTAATGACGTCACGTGTAATGACGTCACTTGTAATGACGTCGCGTGTAATGACGTCACGTGTAATGACGGCACTTGTAATGACGTCACATCCTACAGGACCAATGACAGGATAGATTGGAGGTCAAGTGACAAACCCCTCCTGCAATTCGGAGAGAAGGGACTCCAAATGGGACCTGAAGTAGTCAAGAAGCAGCTGTACCGCTCTATTATTGATATGGACTGCCACTATGACGACGTTTCATTACATTGGGATAACAGAGCTATTGATGAGGTGGTCAAATTATTTGTAGAGTCCCTGACCGAACACTGAAATGTAAAACAGAAAGAACCAGGCTGACATACTTTGGAGATTCATGTAGCTATCTGACGATTTTACTGGTTTAGGAATGATTGTTAGTCGGCTTTGGAATAAAGGAGTTAAGATAATATAATGCATTATGTATCGCCAAGGTTTTAAGTGTCGTGTTAAGCATTATGTTGGAATTTTGTTGTGTTACAGACACCTTTCTGTCTCTATCTTTGACTCAAGATATTTATTTTGAAAGATATGAATTACAATGATTTACTTTGATTTTTCAGTTTCTATGATTGGTATTTTGAATTTTCTTGAACCAACGTGGTCATTTTTAATGAATCATAATAATTATTAACAATTAATCACCTTTGAAAAAATACTGGCCTGGCCGTGCATTATAAGACAGAATAAACTTGAACCACTCCTAATTCTAAACTACAAGATTTAAATGTTAAACTACTTCCCTGCTAAATGCCGCATATTATAATGCAAAATTATATATTATACTAAGTTACCCACTACAACTCTCGATTATACAGTCTCCATCTAATTTTACCTATTTTCTAATCAAAGCATCTTGGTACAAATTACCTTTAGCCCGCACCCTGTCCAAATGTAATGAACAACTTAACCGCTCACAAACTGTTTAGTGTTTAACAGCACAGTGTTACAGTGTTACAGTGTTACACTGTAACACTGTAACCCTGACTGTAACACTCTAACACTCTAACAGTTTCTGTACAACATTCGCGCTCATTTTGTTAATAAGTAGGGATATAATCATAGTGGATGAATTGTTACCAGGTAACTTTTAACAAAGTACAAAAGTAAGGACCCATCACACCTAACCCCTCACTATAATAACACAGGAAGAATGGAACAAGTAGATCAGATCATTATAGTAACTCTACGGGATCTAGGACTTGATATTGACAGTGCGGAGATAGTATCTATATCCCAGTTCAATGACCAGCTGGTAGTGCAGAGTGTAGCACGATGTCTCAACATTATCAACAACAATAAGAATAAACTACCGGAGAAGTTGCCTGAGGGCATGGCTCGGAGATACAGAGTTGGGATTGAACTTGCTAACGCTTGTAAAGAGTTAGGGTTTGTTTTTTTTTGTATTAAAATTTTATAGCTTCCACTGTTTTAGTACTAATTCTTCAGAATATCCAATGTTCTTGTAAGATGGGAAATAGACAAACCTGAATTTCATCTAACAGTGTCACTACCTCTGTAAACTGATCTGTAATATTTCAGTTACAAAGCAGATCTAGGGTACGAAACATTCCTCTACTCTAACGAGGTAGAGATAAGGCGACTTTTAATGTTCCTGGTAGAGAACTTACCACGTGCGCGGCAGGACTCAGACGACGGCGACATCTCCACCACAACCTCTCTTAAAACTAACATTGCGAAGGAACTGCGGAGACAACTGCAACAGCCATGGTTACCCGCACGTTGTCATGGCAACAATGTGGTGTGGGACGGAAACAGGAAAACAGGAAGTTACCACTACGTTGGTGGGTTTAGACAGTTCACTGCTCAGAATCTTAAGAAAAGTGACAAATGTTTGGGTTTACAGTGTGGTCCAGATCAGCTCCTCTCCAGTCTACTTCAACTCTCTACCAAACTAAACCAGGAGCTTGATGTATCCAACATGAGCTTCACCCAGTCACAGAACAGCTCACCCTCCAAACTGAAGAGTGACGTGTATCAACTCATCAGAGCAGCTGGAAGTGAAGCACAGATCGCTGCTGATAGTGGGGAGCTGAGCGCTAAGATGGAGACACTACAAGTAACATCAGCTGCTGATAGTAGTCGAGAGCACAGTATCTTCAAGTTAACAGAGAATGTGTTGCGTGGTAGTAAGGAGGCGGAGGAGGCGGAGACACCTGTGCAGGAGGAGGACGAGGAGGATCTTATCAGGTGTGTTACAATAACTGTTATTATGAGACTGCCAATAAACATTTCCTATTTCAAATGTGCCCTTTTAACAGGGGGGGGGGGGGGTAAACAGGTGTAATTATAAAAGATTCTCTAACAGTTTTTTGATGAAAACTCATTGTACATTTAAATCTCATGTGTTATTTACTGCTGAAGTAAAACTCGTCTTCTCCCAGACAACACGAAGCAGAAAGAGACACACTAATGGAGACTCTGGAACAACTGAACAAGAAACAAAGCGACAGTAAAACTAAGATAGAGACAGCCAACAAGAGGTTGGAAGAACTGGAGAAGAAGAAGAAACAGAGGGAGGAAGAAGTTGAGAAACTGAAGGGAGAGTTCCTGTTGAAGAGGAAGACGCTGCAGTTAGTTCCGCAGGAGAAGAACGCGGTGGTGGCTATGAAGGAGAGGGTGGAGAGTGCTAAATCTGATACCTCTAGTGTTAAAGTGAGTATTTTATATTGTAAGAGCTGGTTAACTATGATTCAACTGATTCAGATCAAGGAATAAGGTCATGTTATTTCGTAGTACAGTTTTATATATATTTGGCTGGATTAACTTACTACTCAAAGTTCCTACCACTAGTAACGTTAACTTGGTCAACTTACATAACACTACACAACAGGCGTTGTGGGTAACAAAAGAAGCAGACCTGGTATCAGAAGTGGAACTGCTAGGGACAGATCTGAGGACGAAGCAGCTGCAAACATCAGAGTATATAGAGGATGTTAGAATGATGAGGGAGGAGATTAGTGAGCTAGTGTCTAGTATTGAGAGCAAGGAAATTATTGCAGCGGAGCTGGATAGTAAAGTTGCCAGCTTACCTAACAGTATAAACAGGTCAGTCAGTTTGTTGTCACAGAGAGAGAGAGAGAGAGACAGTTTGTTGTTCATCGTTTAACTTTAATAGTATGGTACAAGTGGGCATAAAAATTGTAAGAAAAATTGAATTAGATTAACCCCTCTAGCTTTCTTTATTTTTCAAGGAAAGATAGTTTTCGATATCACAAAAGTCTAGGTTTACAATTTACATATTGATCTTTATCTCCAAACACTGAACATTAACACATACTCTCACCAGGAACACACACACAATGAAGATACTAGATATAGTTGACAAGATTAAACGACAAAAGGAACACATCACTACAATACTCAGCGAAACTAAATTAGTACAAAAGGAGATTAACAACTTAAACGGTAAAATCGAGAGATCCTTCATAGAAACGGACGAGATTATCTTCAGAGATGCTAAGAACAACGACCAGTGCAGGAAAGCGTATAAGCTCCTCGCAAACCTTCAATCAGAGTTTAACGCGCTAGTGCGAGGGTTGGACGATATAGGGAGTATCAACAGAGAACTGAGAGACATTGAGGATTTGTTACATAGAGAGAGGGAGAAGAAAACGGGGGAACAGATCAAGAAGGTCGCTAAGGATCTGGCTGCTGTTGCTAAGGATAATGATAAAATGATTTCTGCTATTAAATCTGCTAAGGCTAGCAAGAAGTCTTGATTTTGGTGTGTTTTTTATGTGTTAAATTTATGTGGTTGATTGAAAGCCTGGTGCATTTTTTCACATACTGATTTTGTGTAGTTTCGTCGGTTTCTTTTTCTATTATGATTGACTGAGCTGGGAATTTTTGGCTTTTTGAGTCCACAAATTACTTGACTCGTTTTTAAGGTTTTGTACAATAATTTAAGAGATGTGTGAATTTTATTTTGACTTATCAGATAGTTTTTTATGTTATTGAATTGTTAATTAATTAACTTAATTAATTTTACTATGTTCCTTGATCCGGTTATGTGTTTCAATAAATCTTCATTGTATAATACACGATCGTGTTATTAGCTCAAAGATTACTTTCAACTAGATTTACGCCTGCCATTTATTATTTCATGAGTTTTTATGAACCCAGTTTGATTAATGTTGACTAATTTATCGTGATCTATAGCGAAAGTATGAGTTTTCTATACAAAGAATGTGCTCGAATAGTTGGCCTAGTTGTTGCTGGAAAAGGCTCAGTAAAGTCGCTCTGCTTGTCCACTAAGAACAAAGCTAAGACCAAAGTTTATGCTATTGTCTTCAACGTCTTGCAAAGTGAGTACAGTGTGTTTTTATGACGGTTTATGGTAAGTAAAGTAATGTAATCTAGTAATTTGTGCATGAAATCACCTCACTGAAACAATTTCAGGGGACACACAATGAAACCTCAATGAATTATTGTCTTATAATTTACAAAGTAACAAAACTTCTAAAATTTTGAGGTAAAACAGCATTCCATAATTATATTTTCTCCTCATGGTTTTCACTTGATCCGTAAAAACATTTACGAGGTTTTTGGTGCCCGTTCCGCTACTATTCTGTACTTACTTTGCCTTCGAATTAATATTCACTGAATTACCCTATTATTAAACTATTGTATTATAAAACATCTTTTAACAGTAATTATTGCTCTTCTTCAATCTTACTGTGACCCTGATAGAACTTGTTAGTTTAGGTTAGACATGGCAAGCACTAAAGACAGAAACACAGTCTTCTACCGGATATACCCCAACACCCTCCACTCTGACCTTGAACAGCTGCGACTTCAGTGTCTACAAACACTAGGCAGCGATATTGATGTTATCTGGAATGCAGAGAGTTTCTCCCTGAGTATAGAGGACCACAGTACCCTACCCTATCTACATGGTCAGCTGTGGTTTGATAATGCGCTGGAAGATGAGTGGTATGTGCTGTGGTTACTACAGAAACTAACCGCAGAGTTACCACTGGTTGCTAAGGTGTGGGATGATGATGGTGAGTTTATCCTGATTGAGGCTGCAGAGGTGTTGCCATCTTGGTTAACCCCTGATAACAGTGATAACAGAGTGTTTGTGTACGGAGGTAGATGTGTGTTGATCCCTCAACCTAGTTCACCCGCTGAGATGGGATGTTTTCCTCAGAATGACGTGACTGTTGAACAAGCGCTGAAGTGTGTTGGCAAGGTTGAAATACCCTCGTGTGTGAAGCTGAATAAGACAATCAACAGGAGACTTGCTCAGTTTCCAACCAGAAGTGTTCACAAGATAAAATGTGTGTTACCACTTCCTCTAGCGCACGCTTTATCAACCTCACCGGCTCTCATATCCTCTATAATCAGCATCTACCTGTACTCAGACCAGCGCGAGATCCAGAGCGTTACCAAGAACAGGAGACTGGACTGGACAGACACGTGTGTTACTAACCTGAACCTCACGCGCTGCCAGTACGCGCAGTTGTACAGTCAGCGAGTGACCACTGCTAGCGCTTGGAGTCACGCGCCTGTAGGACATGCAGACCACACAGCAAAGCAGCTCGGTCTCAAGATAACATTAGGTGCTGAGTTGGAGCTCTCTATTGCAGCTGATGAGACTGTCACCGACAAAGATTTCAGTAAATATTTGAGCCGTTTGGAGACGTTTGGCTACTTTGCAGGTAACATAGAAGACTCACGAGCGCACACAGAACTGTTGAACAGAGCTAAGTTGTTCTACCGAGCGTCCCAGAAACAAGACAGTGGTTCAGTGTGGCTGGGGAACAGCAGGGTGTTAAAATCTCTAGTCACACAAGATCCTGCAACTTTTCCTAATTACAAGGAGAGAACTGTTACAGAGAGTGAGGATGACTCCTGGATGGACGAGATGCCGCAGGATATTCAGAAGTGGTTTTTAAAGGGACGACAGTTTGATAACATGACATCTGAAGGTAGTAAGAAACAAGAAGGGTCTACAAAGAGACCTGATGTTGAGGAAATGAACACTGAGAATGTGTTACCAGATATAAACACGCGCCTACAGGGCTTCATTAACAAGATATCATCCCACGAGGGGGCTGAAGTTCCCGACTCTGAGATAAACTTCAATGTTGACGACTTCATGAACTGTTTGAGGGATCTGAAGGATACAATAGACGAGGGTGCACGTGACAGTGACAACACGTCCTCTTTAGACTCCAGCTCTATCAGACTGAGTCAGATGAGGAGATGCAGGAGTACATGAGAGATATTGACGAGCAGCTTAAAGCTACTACTTTATCAGAGACGTTTAAGAAGGACGAGGAAGGGGAAGTGGATATTGATTTGAATCTTGTTTCTAATATTTTAGAGTCGTTTTCAGCAGAGTCGGGGTTGTCAGGACCTGCTTCTAGTGTCCTCGCGTCGCTAGGTGTTCACTTACCGAGAGACAATGAGGAAACTGCTGGAAGCTGATTTTAAACTAACGTTTTAAGTTATTTGTCAGACGATTTTTTACTACATAGCTTCGAAAAATATTTCAGTCGATCGGCTTTTTTATTGAAAATTTGATGATTTATTTGAACAGAGAAACATTTTGGCTGATAAGCCGTCAACTAATTGAACAACTGAAGTTATTCTCGCTGTTTCAAAGAAGTTTACTTTTTTAAAGGTTTTTAATACTCTTAAATTATCGAAATAATTTATGTAATATGATGATCAATGAATTATTTATTTTTCATTTCCTTTAATCTTTTAAAGTTATTCAAGAATTTATATCTGCTTCAATCTTTGAATCGTAAATAGCAAAACTCGACGCTTTCTAAATATCAGATGCAATTTTCAAATTTAATTTTGGGTATTATCTTTATTTATCATTTAGAGTGATAGAAAATTAATCACTACAAATTTAATTACATTTAACACTATTAGGTAGCCAATAGATAACTCATGGCTCTAAAGCAGCTTCTGTTCGCTGACGATGCGTTCAACCGCCTACCATCCCTTATTCACCTGATCCAAAGTGAAGTCTTACCAGAGAACGAACTGACTGAAATATTCGCTCATGTCTCCAATCTTATATACGGGAATTTGCAGCAAAAGAAAATGGGACTAGCAATCTTAAAGTGCTGCCTCCTCTACTTGCACCAAAATAACAGGATAAGTAATAACATTGACTACCTGTTAAAATGGTGGAAAGGAGTGGTGAACTGCATGAAGTCTCGCTACACTGCCGATACTACATACCGTCTAGCGTGCGTTAACGCTACTATCTTATCTCAGATCTGTGGTAACTACGTGGACTTGCTGATGGAAGGTAGAGCTAACGTGCCTATGTTAGTTGCAGCGTGCACTGCGCACGTGTGTGCTGAGAGTTTTGAGTTGTTGCACGTGCTGACGCGCATGTTCCCCTCTCACATAGGTAAACATTACGAGGCTGTCAAGTCGTTCTGTTTATCGCACGTGCAGGATGATCATAGTGAGAAGTGTGCGGAGATATTAGCCCAGTTGACTTGTGTGGGTCCAGCTGGGAAACAGTCTGTTAACTACACCAACTCCTGGAACAAAGCTACTGTAACTTGTTTAGACAGCGTCAACAACATGCTCTTCAGAGTTGTAGGACAGGAAGTTAAACCGGTAGCTAACACATTAGTGCTACCTACCTGGCAGTTTACAGGAACTTTAGACGATGTTAACAGAGCCAACAAGGAGGTCACATTCCTTACTAAATACCTCAGTCATCTCCTCAACATGACAGTTGAAGTGTCCACAGTCTTCCCTCTTAAATCTCTGAGGAGTATGATAGAATATGTTTCAACTGCTTATAACGAGTCTGCAGTGTACTCAGGAACAACTGATAACTTCTCCAGGAGATTGGTTATTAACCATGCTGTGAAGGAGGTGCTGTCAGCGGTCATCTTGATAGTTCCTGTGTTGAATACCTCTGTGTTCTTGGTGCAACAAGATGTTGAGAATCTGATCTACAACCTGTTAAAACGCTCGTGTCACGTGACCACTGCTTTGGAGCTGTTGTCTGTTATGATAGATGTTGGGTGTACGCTCACTTCCCTCCCTTTTGTTGTTTTAATCGACCTCCTGTCTCTCAACAGTCTCCAAATAAAGGGACCTGTTACCAAGAAACAGAAAACAGAGCAGTTCAACACCTTCACATTCGAGACATCTACACTTGGGTCGCACAAAGAGGGTGATATGGTCTGTGTCCTGAAACTTCTGTGTCAAGTTCTGAGGAGTTGTGGAACTAGGTTACCCCAGCTAAAGTTTAATGTTCTGAGAGAGAAATGTCAGGATATCCTGACTCACAAAGAGAGTTTCTCCAGCAGAGTTCTTCAACATACATACCAGGTGCTCAACACATTGTCATCTCAATCCTTTGAGTTCTCCTCCGTTCTCACTCTTTCTTCAAGTGCTCACGAGTCTTCTCTTCACACGTTCTTCTGTAACGAGACCAGCTCGGTTGAACCTCATCTCCACCCTGAGAGACATTCCTTCAGACATTCAGTGGGAACTGTGGGTGTGGTGGAGGAAACTGAGAAACAAAGTGTAGATAACAGTGGGGGGAGCATGTGGGAGAATGAGGACGAGGTGTTGTTCAGTAACATGCCACACAGTAATGGGGTGAATTGTACTGATGTTACTATGGAGCAGGGCGAGGAGGAGGAGCTGGGGGACCATGTTTCAGGTGCTGAATCTGGGGAAGAAACTGGTGATAATTTAGTTTCGTTTGAATCGCACTCAGATAAAAGAACATCTGATAAATCAGATTCAGAGAGACTCAAAGAGGCAATTAAATCAAAACATGACAGTATTATAAATCTTAAAGAGAATATGAAGCCTGCTCAGGAAGAGGAAATTATCAAGTCTGCTGAGAAAGAGGACCAATCGGAGGCTTTATTTGACATTTTATCTTCTTTTGTTGACGAGCCTGCCAGTGAGGATGAAATGTGTGCTTAATCAACCTTTTTACCGTGGTAACAGACAAATGCACATTTCAAATCTTGTTTTTACTAATTTATTACTTTTAGCCAGCGGTGTTTTAGAGTTTCATCTATGATGATAATTTATTGACAACCATTTTGATCAAAATTAAGCTGTTTTACTCTTCGTAATCTCATGATTGTGATGTTTCTGAGATATTATATCAAAATAAAACAAAATACGAGCAAAGGAATTGTATGATAAAAATTTCAAGAATATCCAATTATGAAATGCAATAATGTAGCGATGGCCTTGACCGAAACAAATTCCTCCAGCCACTAACACATCTATTTCTCTTAGGTTGAAAATGGCGATGGCAGGAATGAGCGCAGCTGAAAAGTCGTTTCAGCTGCAACTTCAGATGAAAAGGAACACTGAAGAAATGTCCGGCTTTCTTAAAGATATGAGCGATTGGACAAGGGACATGAACCACAAGGATGACCACTTAAAAGCGGCAAGTAAACCCGAATCTGCACTGCCCCCTGTCAGAGCACAGCCCAAACCAAGGAAGAAGAAGAAAAAAGAAGTCCAAATACAGGAGACCAGCAGCACTGAGAAATGCGAACTGGAAACTGGGACTGATAAGAAGGGAGGAAAGATAAGAGGGTACGATTACAGAGCCTGGGACAAGTTTGATGTGGACGCAGCGATAAAGGAGATAGATGGAGATGCTAGCAAGATGATTATAGCGGAGGAGGTAAAGGTGGAGGAGGAGGATGAGGGAAGCACTGATGAAGAGGAGATGTCGAGATTAGAGGAGGAGAAGAGACAACAGTTAGCTGTTTATCACAAAGAAAAAGGTAACGAGTTCTTCAAACAGGGAAAGTGGGAGGAAGCGGTTGAGTGTTACACTAAAGGTTTACAGCAGGATGCTCTTAACGCAGTTCTGTTTGCTAACAGAGCCATGGCCCTTCTCAAACTACAGAAATACGCTGCTGCTATTGCAGACTGTGACTGCTCGATTGAACTGGATGACACATACACCAAAGCTTATCTGAGGAGAGCCACTGCTCACCTGAAGCTAGAACACAAGAAAGAAGCTCTAGCAGATTTTAACAAAGTTCTAGAGTTTGAGCCGGAGAACAAGCTAGCCCTGACCACCGTTAAGAAGCTTGAAGTAGAGCTGGAGCCAGTTGAAGAGTACACCCCCAGAAAGCCAGGTGATATAACAAACATGAAACGCACACTGCCTCCCTCGGATAAGCCCATGGTACGTATCCAGATTATTGATATTAGCTCGGACGATTTCGACACTAAACCATCCAGAGGAAAAAAAGGTATTGAAGAGTTAAGCTCTAAATCAGATAACGAAGCTACAGACTCCAAAACAGAGCAGATATCTACTTATGCGAGAAAGAGGAAAGATGTTGTTAGTACAGTTGAGTTTGAGACCCTCCCTACCCGCATTCCGATGAATTACCTCCACTTCCAGACTGATACCAGGAAGCTAAGAAAGCACCCTATTCAACTGTACGAATACATCAAGCAAATAGACCCGGACATTTACCCCAAACTCTTCCAAGACAGCCTGGAGGCAGACACATTGTTCATGATGCTGGACACCTTCAACATCTTCTACATTCCCAACAGACTGCCTGTGTACAGCGAGCTGTACTATCTCACTAAGGTTAAGAGGTTTGACATGGCCGTCATGTTCAAGACAGAACGCCAACAGCTCACTATCGGTCAACTCGTCCAGTATGCAGCTGAAACTGTGGACGATAAGCTCGGGATTATCGGACTGATAAAGGCTTACAGTATTCTTGATTTGAGCAAATACAAGTTGAACAACGTCCAAGAGGAGGTCGATATTTAACAAATGGGTTCAGTTTTTGTAAATATTTTCTTGTACATAATAACTTGTCATGTGTTGCTTTTTATCAGTTGAAAAGTTTGAACCTCGAAGTTTTTAAGAGGCTCTAAGTTTTTAAGAGGCTTTCCTTACATCGGAATTGTGAAGTTTTTAACCAAAAATAGTGATTAAGAGATGAGGAAAATTAACTTTTTCAATGAATTTGAAAGTTGCGTCACGTCAAGTGATTGTTTCATATAAAATTCGCTGTGCTGTTAAGATCTGGGAGTATAACTGGATTATAAGGTGTTTTAATAGCAGATAACTTATTTGTTTACTTATTTTGTATATCGTTAACCAACGGATATCATTGTTTCCCAAATCCTAATCTATTCGTTCAAATATACTTGCCAAACCAAGTGACTCGTGTACCGATTGTTGCCAAACAAATGATCGGTCACACTGTCACAGCTGTAAATATCATTATTTGTGCGGCGCATTGCCAAACGATCTATAAAATGTAATTTTCCAGCAACACTTTATAGCGCGCAATGCGCGCTCAATTTAAAATGGGCCCTAACTTCACGCACTCCACACTTAACGTACTTACTTTAGTCGAGAAGATTACAACTTAATTTTAAAACATTATGACTTTACCACCCCACTTTCAGATTACAGTACATTGAAGAAGATTGCAGAAGAAGCTGGGCTTGATGACGTGAGTTCTTTTATTTACCGTTAATACTTATTTTAAGTAGGTCCGAGAGGGATCATTTCTAGACTACAAAGTATCAAACATTTTCATAGCTGACGTTTTTTGTTACCCCCACTCAGTTATCATGACTGTCAGTGTATCATCTACATTTTTTTCTGGGGTCGTGTCTGCACAATCTCCAAGGAACCTAGCCGAGTATAGTTTTTATCAATTCCACAGGGAAAAGTTGTACGACTAGAAGGTTCCATAACTAGACCGCCTTCACCACGAATGTCTACTCATTATGCTATCCTGTCATCACTGAGAGGGATAGTGCCCTCATCTGATATAATTCATACGTCCACTTGAAACGGCGAGAATCCACTAGAACACTGCACTTTCTTACTGATACTGTCATAAATGGGTTGAATCAAGATTTTTAAGAAGTTTTCTTCGATGAGTAACTTTCTCTTGGTTTCAGTTGCTTTTTAAAGTGGTCATATCAAGTTTTCCATGTTCTAAGCTCTGTCTTTGACTCAATATTTTCAGACTCCCTTGGTCTACATACACCTGTACGAACAACTTTATCGTGGCGGGATGAAGACTGGTGGTCCGATAAAGACCCAAATAAAGCAAATGTTACCCACTCTTCAAACTCTAAAGATAAAGCACCACAACGCCTCCAGCTACAAACGGCTCCCTCTTTACGTGCGGATAAACACATTATCTGTTCCCGACCCCACTGCAGTAATCAAACAACTTAAATACCAATTTCCTGATTCCAACTTTACGGGAGACCCTCACATCAACTTCCTGTTAAAGTTTCCTTCTCATACCAACTTTTCAAAGTGTAAGCTCTACAGTAAGGGGCACATTATAATACAGGATAAAGCAAGTTGTATGTCCGGTGCAGCACTTAATCCGCCTCCTAACTCTAGTGTTATAGACGCTTGTTCTGCGCCGGGTAACAAAACACTGCACCTTGCTGCACTGATGGGGAACGCAGGAACTGTGTTTGCTGTTGAGAGAGATTTCAAGCGCTTTAAGAGACTGAAAAGTAACGTTATCAAACATGGGGCTAAAAATATTACCTCCATCTGTACAGATTTCCTGAAGATATCACCTGGTGACGCTAAGTACGCAAATGTTACTCACATTCTTGTGGATCCCTCGTGTAGCGGATCTGGCATGGTTACTGAGAATCTTGTAAATAACTTTCAGTCGAAAGACGAGAAGAAAATCAAACAACTGTCAGATCTTCAGAAAGTCTGTTGGCACACGCGCTGAGTTTCCCAAGTGCTACACGTGTCGTGTACTCCACGTGTTCAGTGTACGCGGAGGAGAATGAGTGTGTTGTTGAGGAGATGTTAGATTCTCATTCCGAGAACTGGGAATTAGTTAAGGTAATTCCTGGTTGGACACGACGCGGGGATACGAGTGTGTTCAAGCACGCTGATAGGTGCGTGAGGTGTGATCCTAAGGATGAAACTAATGGGTTCTTTCTTGCTTGTTTTGTCAGGAAACAGAAAGTAAAAGTGAAAGTGAAAGACAGGGACTTTCTTGGAGGAGCAAAGATTCAGAATGTATTTTCAGTGAGACATTTATCTATGAGATACCGTGTCAAACATCACTATAAATATCCATACAAGTACATCAGATTGTATTAATTTCCTCGCAATACCCCCTCGTTTATTATACTCAGTGTTGTATTCTGGTTTCTGCTGTCCATTCAACTATAGTTGATTTGTTACATTTTAGTCTGCTTTTAAAATTTTTACACGGTATGTTTATTTGGTGCGACAAGGTTTTTTATTTGTGTTAAAAGTTCCTTGAACATACTTTAAGTAAATTTCTCGTAAAATTTCACAATACATTATTATGTTCCCTCATATTATGTAATCAAATAATAACTTATCACAGTCACTGTAATCTTGTGTCTATACCTAGCGCCCAAGATGAACATGACGTAATATTCTTGCCATATTTACATTTTACATCACCTGCACTTCTTAGTTCTTATCTACCCAATTCCGATATTATGACGTCATAAGTTTTCTGTCCACCTCCAACTTTTTGATTTTAAGTCTTCCAATGCATCACGAGACAAGATATGCAATGTTGAATTTATTACTCTGTTACCTGGCTCGATTCCACATTCATAACCGTTCCAGCGTTCTAACAATTGTTGTGCTATTGACGTTCTTAGTTCCTTGACTAAAAAGTAAAACGTTTGTTTTTAACATGGGCTAGTAAAACTTTCCATTGTTCTGTCGTAAGTCCAGTTAGTCAACAGAATGTGTAATATTCTTACACTGAACATAACGCCCACCTTCAAAGTAGCAATGTAAAGTTAAGTATGACGGATGATGATGGTGCGAGAGAGGAGATTTTAGACCACGTGAGCGTGAACACATTAGAAGTGGAGGAGGAGGAGGAGGAGGAACTGGGGATGAGACACCACGATCAGGAGGCTCTTCTTCCTGGAAAATCTACTGCCACACAGGTACGTGGTGAGGAATTACTAGGAGGCTAGGGGGTGAGGAATTACTAGGAGGGGGTGAAAAATTACAAGGAGGGGGGGGTGTGAGGAATTACTAGGAGGGGGTGAGGAATTACTAGGAGGGGGGTGAGGAACTACTAGGAGGCTAGGGGGTGAGAAATTACTAGGATAAAGGACCCCATGTAAATTTCAGAACGTCTAGTGCAGAATGCCTACCAATTTCTCAACGGATTTTTATTTCATACTTGCAACTTGATATTTGTATACTGCTTATTATATATTTATTTTGATACTACTATTCATCCCTTACCAAAGATTCTCCCACTCCAGATAGCGAACGCGTATGATGCGTTGTTATCGAAGATAGGGATAAACTGGCAACTGGTAGTGATTATCACTTGCTCCGGTATTGGGTTGTTATCTGATACTCTCGAGATAATGAGCATCAGTTTTGCAAAAGACGACATCTCCAAGCAGCTCAAGGTACGTAAAGTTAATTTGTCCAAGCACGTACACTGGCTACTGTCCATTTAGTCCTGATTATTTGAGCGACTTTCACTGACGATTGAGACCAGAGCCGTAAAAACAACTCTGAAATTTATCTTGATATTCCCCGAGTAGATCTAAATAGGTTTGTATCAAATAGTTTGGCAGCGAACAATCTGTTAATGATGATTAGGAGGATAGATTACTGACTGATGGAAAATCGAACCAAAATTGTATTTTGTATTCAATCTTACTATATATAAAACGAGACGATATAGTGTGGAGTGAGCTATGTGCCCATCCTTGGAGAACCCGGTGGATGTCCTTGCTGTACGGCAGTGTTAAACAAGGAACTGAAACCGAGGGGTTCCGTTCAGGCCCTTCACACTTTGTTTCTGTCTGGTTCTAATGTACCGTCACAATAGTGACTTTAACATATATATAATATAATTCTTTGACCAAGGAATAAGAACTTTAGGTCCCGAAATTTGGACCCCAAAGCGGTGTCAAAATCGCGAAATAAATAATCATTGTAGTCTCTACTCTCTTGATACCAATTTAGGGTAAGACGGGTTCCTGCTAGTATTAATAAATTGTTAAAGAAACTTGAATATGAATAAAGATATATATTTTTACTGTCAATTCAACCTGCTTTTGGAGACCTGTTATCAGTGATCGACCGGGATCCCGGCCCCGGCCCCGGATACGGCCGGGATTTGTGTTTTTTCCCCGGCCCCGGCAAAACAATTTTCAAAATCCCGGCCCCAGCCAGAGGCCCCCAATCCCGGCCCCGGCTTTTTGTCAATTTTTGCCGGGATTTTGCCGGGATTTCTCGTATTTTCTGCCTCAATTTAAACCGATAGATTATCAGAATTTATCTTGATTTTTAGACTTAAATTAAACACAAAATTTTTGGTAACATGAGATCGAGTGAAAAATATAAATACGAGGACTTGACATCATTCCAGTTTGATATTCAGAAAATTTCAACTTTGAATTTACAAAGAATGTAAAATATTAATGTTGATTTAAAAAGTTCGAGGTTGATTAAAAAGTTCGAGTAAAGTCATGTGTTCGTGTACCGTTTTCTTTCATATAACTAGTACAAACGTCAAACAATTTAGTTCAGGAGCAAAAAACAGTAGAGAGTGAGGCCGACTCAATGCAGATGATGATGATAGTCATCAGATCACAGATGACTACTCGTTTCCGGTGTCAGCTTCAGTGTCCGAAATATCTATGTCCGGCTACAAGAAAGCCTTTCTGAGTTACATTTAACTATTAAAGAGAAATAATCGTTCCTCATCCTTTAAACATTGTGTAGCTGCCTTCTAGGTTGACCTTAAAGCTAGCTCACATTGATACGAGTTTCCGGAAACTTTCAAAAATTTTCAAAATTAGATTTAACAAATCCCGGCCCCGGCATATTTTAGCCAATCCCGGCCCCGGCCCCGGCCTTGGCAACATTTCAAAATCCCGGTTAATCCCGGCCCCGGCTGATTCAACTTGGTCCCGGCCCCGGCTAAATTTCGTCCCCGGTCGATCCCTGCCTGTTATATTTCAATACTTCCTCTTGATTAACCCATCCTCTATGATTTAATATAATAATGGTTATAATAATGGTTATGGCATTAAAAAAACAAAATTACGGACAATTTTACAACCGCTGCAGTCCGGAATCCCTTCAAAATTTTGGTCACTGGCCCTAGTTTGTTGGTCGTAATCAAGTTTCACAAAAATCGGGGTGAATTGTGAACTCCCATAATTCAATTAGCTCAGTGAAATGAGGATGAAGTTGATAACAAATTTATAATTAATTCCTGTACAGCACCGGAAGATGGTTCAGTTGAATCCCAGCCGTTTTATGGTTAATATCTGGATACATCCGTGTCCACATCTGTTATAGGGTCTAATCAAATTTTCAAGATAAATCTGGAGTTTGTTATCTAATAAAATTGATAATTGGTTTAGTCCTCTCCTCATAAATCATATCTTGGTTTTAATTACTGATGGAGGTGCGAATTTCCTTATCGTTGGCTCCAATATCAGATAAATTATAACCTGGAGGGTTTCATCAGACTATATAAACAATGAGTCCTGCTTCTTTATTATCTCATTTCTCTTCTTTAGTGTCGACCAGTAGGTCAGTAGGTTGACCAGTAGGTACAGTAGGTTATAGCTGATCTTCTGTTCAATCTTGGTTGATCTATAAAACCAGAATGTAGCTCGTCAGGGCGGTCAGCTCGTGTTTTCTTAAAACAGATAGGTCACCTCACTAGGACTATCAGTATCAAAGTCTATCGATGTAGTGTGATAATCTGAAACCATTATTATGATCGATTAAAAAACTCTAAGGTAAATGATGCATAGTGTAACCAGTTATTCCTCCACCATGATAAAATTTAGTGTCACCACATTATGTCGTCTAAAATCATCGTCGTCCCATTTGTTTATCTTAAGGATTATTTCATCAGAAACTATGTTGCTTCTCCTCAGCTCAGGGCAATTTTTTTCCAGACCACGGCGTTTACAATACAATAAATATTCACTACTTAATGTATGTGATGGTAATTTCGCAAGTGTGCTAGACAACTTTCGTAAAATTAAAGCAAACATTTGAAAACAATTTCTTCTCTATCAAAATATCAGTTTTAAAATTAACAGCAGGAGGTAAACTCACTATAAAACTGAATTGCTCTTAAAAAAGCATTTAAATTCTAGATCATAGTATAATTTTGCTTTGTAATTTTTAGAGATGAATGAACATTTTGCATTCTTGTCCTGGTGAGCTCTCCACGTCCATATGTATGTGTTTTCATATAACCAGTCAGTACCTGACCTTACTTCATATCCCTTCTTCTGTGGATGAAAACAATTTATATAGGTTTAAAAAAAACAAAATATAAAGGTTTTTTAGTGAACTTACTAGATACTGACGTTGATCTATTTCTATTTAGAATTTGTTTGCCGTCCAGCGATTAATTTATTTATTGTGTAGTTAATAGCCGATCAATCGTCTTTTCGACCTTTATTCATCTATCTAGCTGGGTCGTGCCTCATGTTGTTCATGATATCTCCACTCCCATTTTAATTTAATCTGAATCGGTAGATTTACAAATTCCCATATTTAATGATAGTATAATTATAGTTATGAACATATTTTGTTAATTTCAACTAATATTTTAATGCCCGCCTGACATTGCAACTTCCTACAAACAGGATGAAGGTTGTTGTTGTTGTTCTACTGTCCTGTCTTGCCCTTTCTGTGGCTCAGGAACCAACTGTGTTTGATATCTTTGGGATGACTTTAAATGATGGCCTGACTGCGACGAAGGCCATGGCAAAGGCATACCTGAGCGAAGACGGTTCGTCTTTCAAACCGGAGATCAACGGGATGCTTGGTATGGTGGGATCCCAAGTCTGCCCGGAGGAATCCAACGAGTGTAGCCCTAATGAGAACTGGCTGTTTGGCTGCAACTGCCGTAAAGAATTCCGGGATCTGGGAGAGTGCAAGAATAAGCCTTGTCAGCTGTACAAGCACTTCAGGGATAATGGCCCTGTCTCCTTGAACCGGTTTATTGATGCCACGTCTTTCGAAGAAACGGTCCAATCCATGGTTGACTACATTCTGATCCCTGTATCCAATGCTCTCTGTGAGTGTTCTGAAATGATTGGGGCTTCTGCTAAGTGTGCCAAGAATTACGACGGTATGGTGTTAGACATGTTAGATCTGGGTGAAGTTGGAGGTATGTTCGAATATGTTGTGGACAATCTTGATTGGAAATCATTGAAGACAGTCCTTGAGGGTGTAGCAACGGCAGGTTGTGGTGTAAAGAACGGGAAAGACTGTGTTTTAGAAATGTCAAAGATGTACACTAATGGGGCCAAAGTAGTGGACAATTCCCTTAATGGAGAGGATGTATGCCTTTCCTTGATCAGAGTTGAAAAAGAATTCAAGGCCTATCTTATGGCTATGAGTGCCATGGATCTGGAGGTCGAGTCATTCTCGTCTTTCGCTAACAGGCTCATGGGTTTATATTTGGACATAGAAAGGAAGGCTATGTGTGATCCAAGCTGCGCTGCCGAAATGAGTGAGGATTTCTGGACATGTTGCAGCAAATCCACACTTGAAGCCCTTGCTACCAAGGAAATGAAGAAAGCTTACGGAAAACTGTTCAAGAATATGTGGACCCTGTTCGGTGAAGGAGCCCCTCCCGATCTCACCAAAGTTATCAAAAAGTATCTCAAGATACATGATATCGAGAGTTTCTGTGGAGGTCAGACAGACGTTTACAGAGTGAAGAACGAGCAATGCGAGGCTCTAGAGGCTTAATGGACTGGACCAGGGACATACTATACGTGTAGTAAAACTTGATTAATATGGATTAAAAAATTCACGAACAGATTGTTGTGTACGACTTCGACTCCCGTATATTTTTTGATTGTTATATTTTTGAATCCTACTGCAATTTTATATCTCGAGTTTTCTTTAAAATTGAAAGAAATAGAACAATTTTTAATTAATCAGAAACGGCAAAGTCCCAGTTTTTTCCTTATTTTCTAGTTTTTAAGATCATTGTTTTTAGAAGATTCCCGTATTGTATTACAGCATTGTATATTACGACATTTCTCATTACTGTCTACTATATCGCGAAACTTAATTACATATTAAAGTTAACTTTAATGAAATATTGTCTCTGTTTGTCTCCAAAATTATAGCAGTATAAACCAGCGGCAGCTTAACTAAAGGCTAGAGCTGCCTTTGGAAACATGTTTAAAAGTCGAATGATCTCTAGATTTCTAAGAAAAGTTCAAATCAGGTACAGATGTCCGGCTAACCCATCCCCCGCATATTATATTATTTAATAATGGGAAAGAGCGATTTTAATCTTGCAATGCATGACACAATCAAAATTACGGGCAATTTTACAACCGAAAATAATTAGCATATTAAGCCTTATTAAATCCATGAGTAATCCAAAATATAAGTAATCCAT